TGTTTCCTGTCATGGAAACTTTTGCCACTAAATTTTCCATGGAGTTATGATCAAATATCTCCACCATGGAATTGCCAAAAACCATATAGTAACCATGCTCTACCATCTGACCTACACTTAGCAGATTTTCATCCAATCCTGGTACAAGCAAAACCTCTTTGATATATCTAGGCCCAGCTTTAGTGTCAATCACCAAAGCGCCTTTACCAGTTGCTTGCACCAAGTCTCTTGTGCCCATTTTCACTTTTGCAGTGACCTTAGTATCAATATTGACTAGGAGAGATGCATGTGAGGTCATGTGATTGCTACATGCACTGTCCACATACCACACACCATTATTCTTTACTACTACAGCAGCATGACAAGCATAGAACATGATACCTTCTTCCTCCTTGTGTGATGCATAGTTAGCAATTTGATCAGATTTTCCTCTGTATTCTTTTGCTATTTGACCAAACCTCTCACATTTGTAACATTTTGGTTTGTCTTTGAACCAACAAACACCATAGTGCAACTTGTCACAGGTTTTGCAGGGTACCTTTGCTCCTTCATTCTAATTTTCCTTCTTGGAATTATTGTCAAACTTTGAATCCCACTTCTTCCCTTTCTGAGATTTCCAATTCTTCTTAGACTTGGAACTACCTGCTTGCCCTGTGTTTGATTGGTCTCTAGAACTCACATTTAGGTTGGAAAATGCTTTTTCTGTCACTCTCTCATTATGCCTTAGCAATCATTGCTCTTGAGATTTTAGAGATCCTATAACCTCTTGAACCCCTATTGACTTTGTATCTTTTGTTTCTTCTATGACTTCAGCAATAGAGTCATATTCTCTAGACAAACTAATCAAGAGCTTCTGAACTATTCTTTGCTCAGTTAGTACTTCACCATATGCCTTCATTTGATTTACTAGCTCAAGCAGTTTAGTGACATACCCAGATAACGGTTCATCATCATGCACTCGAGTGTATTCAAATTCTCTTCTAAGAGCTTGAAGTTTCACAGATCTCACGTTCTTATCTCCTCTAAACTCTTGCTGCAGGATTTCCCATGCTTCCTTGGCTGACTCCTTCAATGCGATTCTGGGAAAAATATCGTCAGAAACAGCACCTTGGATTAGTCCCAAAGCCTTAGCATCCTTTGCAACATTCTCTTCCAAAGCCAGCTTTTGAGCTGCAGTCAGAGCTTCTCCTTCTTCCTTCTTCACAGGTTGCTCATGCCCATTTGCAACCATATCCCACAGCTTGTGAGATTTGAAGATCGTGCACATCTTTATTCTCCAGAAATCATAGTTGCTTCCATTGAAGATGGGAGCACGAAGCTCACCCATTCCAGATCCAGCCATGTGAGACTAGATAGATATTTCTTCAGCTGGATTGCTTCAATTCCACGATGCCCAGTCTCATATCTTAACCTGAGCTCTCGATACCATGTTGGAGTTTTATAGAGTAACAGGTTTGTTTGCACAGAAAGTTTATGAGAGAATGTTTAAGAGAGAGAGAGAGAGAGAGAGAGAGAGAGAGAGAGAGAATCTGTTAGGCAATAATTGTAATCATGCGCACACACACTGTGTGATCTCATTCCACTATCAATATACATATCTTTCAACCAATACAAAAATGACTCAGCCAATACACAATCGTACCAGCCTATGAGTTGTACACTTGGCATGAATCTGGACCTGTAAGTCCAACAAAATGTGATAGCATATGAGCCATACACCTGTCTAACTAACAATTTAAACATGGAAACAATTTATACTTCAACACTCCCTTCTAAATTGTTAATTGGTTTAACACCAAGCAATCCTCTCAGATAGTTGAACCAATCTTTAGGTAGAGCTTTAGTGAAAATGTCAGCCACTTGTTCTTCAGACTTGCAGTACCTCAAGTCCACTATCCCATCTTGTAAAGCATCTCGGATGAAGTGATACCTACGGTTGATGTGCTTGGTTTTCTTATGGAAAACTGGATTTCTTGTCATTGCAATGTCAAAGGTATTATCCACCATTAATGGAGTTGCATCAGTCTGCAATTCTCCAAAGTCCTCTAGCGCAAACCTCAGCCATATAGCCTGTGTAGTAGCTTCACTTGCATTGACATACTTAGCTTCAGTTGTGGAGAGAGCTACACTGTGTTGCTTGATTGATGCCCAAGAAAATACTCCGCTGCCAAAAGAGAAAGCATAGCCAGAAGTGCTTCTCATGTCATCTTGGCTTCCACTCCAATCACTATCACAATATCCAATTAGGATAGCTTATTTTCCCTTCTGATATTTAATACCAAAATCAATGGTGCCTTGGATATACCTTAACACCCTCTTAGCTGTTCCATATTGTTTCTTTGTTGGACAATGCATGAACCTAGCTAATAGGGAAAAATATGTGTCACAAAGGATTCTTTTCTGCCTTTGAAATTGCACCCATAGAAATACTCGAAGTCTGCTCAAACTGTACCAGGACTTACAATATTTGTTCACTTGGTGGAGCAAAGCAGCATAGCAAAAGTTGTCCTTCATAACAACTTGATCTAGAACACTTTCAAATTGACTCAAAAATTCTGTCTCCAATCCGATTATTGTGCTCTATAATATTTCTTGCCTGAAGCAGTTTGCTATCCCCTGAGGTACTGATGAGACTCTTCAAGAGGAAGACATATGATGTAACCCTATGCGTGCTCCGAAGACAGCATTGCTCGTAAGCAATCTGGTTCCTCAAGAGTGAATTCGTAGTCTCATGAATCCGCAGCTGGGGAATTATAATCACCCCATCCTCGAACTTTATGTCCAACAAATATTGCTGGGTGCTTGGTCCACTTAGTTATTTAATCTTTACGATGACTTGGTCTTTGATCGAGTTAAATATATATTTTATCTTATGCTCATATCATTACCATTTTCTTTTCTCCCTTTATCTTGCCAATCACTTTTAGAAGAAAAAAAAAAACCTTGAGAACTAGGACAAAGCTTCCATACTTAATGTGGGATACTCTCAATAAAGACAGAGACTAGAAATCAACTTACAATAAACACATTTCATATTTGCTTTCCCTTTCACAACGCCAGAGTCTCCACTTAGTTATTTAATCTTTACGATGACTTGGTCTTTGATCGAGTTAAATATATATTTTATCTTATGCTCATATCATTACCATTTTCTTTTCCTTTTTCAAACACGTATGCTACTCGTGATCCATTAAATACATTAGTCTTTAGTTTGTTAGCATATGGAATGTGGTGACATAAGCCCAGAAGCAAAGACTAGATCTAAGATCAACTTGCAATTATAAATGTATATTTGAGTCATTCGATTTGACTCCAACCCCATTAGCTCACTAGCTCCTTTAAATACCTTCCACTAAAATAAGATCACGAGTCTCTTCACCCATTCTATATTCTGTTTCCAATCACACTCAGCTTCCTGACATATTTTCAAAGGGCTTGTCACTTTCCTGGTTTGCTTACTTCAAGTCCAAGCTTCTATCTTCTTCTTTGAACCCAAAAAAAAAAAAAAATTAAAGCTTCTATGTTCTTCGTGGCCCATCATATCTGACCGGTCGCCAGACAAAGACAATCCCAGTAGGCCAATCCAAAAAAGGTCAATCTTGTGGATTTGGTTGATATGATTCAGCATCTCTGTGATTTCCTATAATTACGTGTAATTGTTTAGAATTGTTAATAATAAACACATAAACCCAGGCAGATGATGAGCTCTCTTCCTCTCTTTTTCGCTTTTTGGATTATTGATTTAGACATTCATTCCTTATTGAGTGTATTAGGTTTGGGAGAGATTTCTCATTAAAACACATAATTCGAAAGATAAACTCACAAGTATATACAATTAGTGGCAGAGCTGATATCTCCCTATTTTAAGCTCCATATAATTGTGTATATGTCAATTGGGAAAACACAAATTAAGATCATACGAACTCGTTATAGAGGAAGAATCTGAAACATATAACAGCAATGACTAATTAAACTCAAAGGATGGACCAAAAGAAACTCTCCAAACCCAACCTCATTAACTACAAAAACAGAGTATATGAAACAAGCATTAGCTATAGCTAGCTACTGATGAGCTTGGTGCATGGCGAAGTATGTTTGTGCAATAGTAAGAACAAAAAGACAAAGCGCAGCAACGAACGAAATCATACTCCAAGCAGTAGAGAAATAAGTGTGATACAGGCACCTCACCCGTCTCCGAAACCAGTACTTGCAAGCGTAGGCATTCACTTGCGTGCACAGCTTACCAAAACAAAAGTCCTTCACAACGACTTCATCTAGAATTCCATTGAAGTAGGTCAAATACTCTTCGTCCTTGATCCAATTCTGGTTCATGATGCCTTGTTCCCTAAGTAACATAACATCATGCGGCGAACGGATGAGGCTCTTCATGAGGATGGCGTAGGATGTGATGTGCTGCGTGCTGCTGAGGCTGCATTGCTCATAAGCAATCAGGTTTCTCAACAGTGAAGTTGTTCTGTCGTCAATATACACTTGTGGAATTCTCATCACCCCTTTAGTGAAAGTTATGTTATAGGAGTGGTCCGAGTTACATAGAAACACAACTCCAGCCTCTAAAAGATCACAAGCGCAGAAATCGAAACCCCAATTTTCGAAATTGCTTCGTGGTTCTTCTTTAAGAAGGCATGGAGCTGGGTGGTAAAATTTGTGCAAGAGATCAAGCAAATGCTCGTACTCTGTTCCCCCAGGCTCATCTTTTATCATTTCCTTTTCGTTCATAGGTTCGAAAAACTTAAGAGCAAGGCAAGTGATGGAGTGCGGCGGCTTGTAGCTAACGATTCGAGGCTTGACAACTTCGTACAATTCTTGTAGAACAAAGAAGGGAATCTGGTTTTCAAGCAATGCGAGATCACGCCTAAGGGCGGGGATCATCCAAGCATTGTTGAAAATTGCATCAGATTGGTCTATTAGGGGAACTTTTTTGCAATATTGGTCATACCTGAGGAAGAGCTGCAATATGAAAATGCCATCAAACGACACCATGTGTTCAAGGCTTTCGGCATCATGGTCCCGAGCACCGCCGGCGTAGCTCCGGCGAACCGTTTTGTCTAGATTGTAGATCGGCAAATGGAACTCAAGTGGGACTTGGAGGCTCTCTTGAGGATCTTTGATTTGGTTAAAGAAGTATCGCATGTAACGGCACTTGTGCTCTATCATTGTGACAAGCTCTTGGTTGCCTTTTTTACGATGGTAAGGTCCGATTGAGATAATGCGAGGGCTGTAGGCATTGTCGTCGACTTTTCGAAGTTTGATTGGAACATGAAAGATGCTCAAGTTGTCGAATGTTTCGACCTCGTCGAATGTATCTGCTGGCCACTTGATCGACCATTGTTTTTCATAGCTTGCTCTTCTGGTTCCCTGTTTTCAACATATATAAAGCACACATATATTCGTGCTCTCATATAGGAGATATATTTGATTGATGTATGAATAAGTAACACATTAATTGTTGAGCTCAACTACCTTAATTTCCTCCCTGGATCCAATGATCTTAGCAGATTCACCTTCGTCTTCGGATTCACTCATCTCAGCAGCATACTTCCCTGCCTTTCCAGCTTTCACCCATCTCGGCAAATTCCTACGCATTGGTTAGACTCAACTACTCAAAATCCTACTTTCTCATGTCCATAACTTAATCTTTTGTTATATGCATAATAACTACTTTACTTCAATATTCATTGACATGCATTTCGCATTGTTTTCAATATTTATCTTCATGATCATATATAACTTCAAATAAACCTTATTATATATATTCACATGAAAATTATTATAAGTGCTGCACTTCAAAAAGTCATCATGCACTTTTCCTTCCTTATTAAAACGTACGGTAGGAACGCATAATGACTTTTTTAATGTGTCATAACAACTCTCTATTTAAAGAATTTTTAGAAACATGATTACGTGAGTTATGAAAGGTATTTCTTTTTATTTTAAAATGAAAAATTTGAACATTGCGCCTTTCGTATTGAGAGAGACGATAATATACTAAACTCACACACACTACACGAATACTTGAGGGAGCAATTACTCCAAACCACCTAAACTAGTGAATCCCTAGTGAAGCCCTTGAAATAATATTCAACAAACATAAACTTACAAAGTTAATGATTAACATACCGTAAATAAAATCATACAAATATAACAATTGCACAAAACACATATAAAGCCTTAATATATTTCACCAAGTTTAATTAAAATAATCCCAAAAATTTATAATCCTAAGATGTCCCCTACCTCAATTCCAAAGCTAGCTAAATCCAAATTACTCTTCCACAATCTCCAACACCACTCCCAAGTCTCAGTTACGAGAACCTTCAAGATCTTGCAAAGCAATTCAAAGATGACTCACTACTCACTCAAACCTCTTTCTTTCTCCCTCTCCTTTCCTTTTTCTTTCTCCTCTTCTTCCTCCTTTCTCTTTACTTCTCTTTAATTAATTTTTCATGCTCCATGTTCACGGAAAAACAAGCGGCACCAAGCAGCCCCTAATTGGATGATTTGGCGGTACCAAAAAAAAAATCTACATTATTTTATACGAATCCACTGCTGATGATCTTGGTTTGGTCCAATTGGAGCAAGTTACTTCAGAAAGTATATTTCCAAGTTCACGTGAACATAAATTGAGACTAATGGCTTCAACTGAAACTTGCTCATTCGACAGGTTAAAAACCAAACATGCAGGAGTTAATCAAATTTGGAGACAGCACATGGATCATGGGTCGCCGCCGCCAACCAAGAGGGTCTTATTGAGCATGAGTTCATGCATGTTCACAAGAAGCAATTTCATAAGATAGAATATTAACAAGTAAAATAGTGGCACGTGACATAAGGGCATCCACGTGCGACCCATGTGAAAGTGGGGCGGGTCCACGCCCCATTCTCTCTCAGCTCTTATAAAATCGGAATCTAAGGTCAATGGGAGCCATTAAAACATGTCCACATACAGCTCGAGATCAAGCCACGTGGAAATGGAAACCAGGCAGGCCCATAACGTTGCCATTTTACAAGGCACTTTGGAAACATGCTACTAATATTGACCTTGAAAGCTATACCAAAATTGAACAACAAAATCTTACAAAATCCCACCGAAAAAGTTGGAAAAAATGAAATACCTAAAAACATATATATTTTGATTTAATTAATTTAACCTATGCTTTTGATAGGAAAGGAATCATCACAACTCAACACACTATATTATAACTAAATTAACCCAAAAAAAGGAGAAAATTAAAAAAGAAAAAAAGAAAAAAAGCAAAATCCAGCACACATGACATGTAGGGGAAATATTACTACTTCCCCATGTATGGTACAAATATGAAGAGATCCAGATTCAGAGAGAGTTTTGAGCTCAAATCGATCTTTGGGTGAAGAAGTTTTTTTAGTGGTGAGGAGCTGCTGCTGCTGGCAGTTTTGGAGAGTTGCATTGATAGCACTTGGCAAAGAGCCCAAAATTGTCCACTTGCCTCACAAAGTTGGTCATGCTGGCCCATCCACCGAACCCGAACCCGATCACCAGAACCCACACAACTATGAAGGAGTTGATCACATACATGGCAGTCCAGCTTGGTAAAAAGAAAGGAGGCTTCTCTGCAGCATTCTGCAAAACACAGTAAAATGGAAAGGGGAAAATCAATAGGTATATTGGGAGCGGAGGGTTTCGGATACAAGACTTCTGATGGAGGTAAATGTTTTCAACCACTTGAGTTACATGTTGGTTGCGGTTTTTATGTTTTGTTATGAATCTCTGCAAATAATGCTCAGACCCCAGAAAAACCAAGTTTTCTATTTTGGGTTTGTTTTCTGTTGAACCAAAGTCACCACCAAACTAACCAAACTGCACAGTGCCTAATTGAAAAAGGTCTAATCAAACAGCTCAGCCGAGGCATAGTACAAGTGTCCCAACTGTAGAGTATAACTAAACGAAAGGGACTGGCCACCTATCTCAATTCTTCTCGTAACATTTCCAAATCCAAGCCATAAATGACTTTTGTACACTTGCTGCTCTCTCTCTGAACTGCAACTACTGGAATGTGAGCAGCCAACCATCGTACGAAGGTGGAGGTGCCCACTCAAAACTAGAATGCCTAAGATACCCCCACTCAATCAAGATAACTACAGGCCGCCACTCGACAACGGCATCGTCATTACAGATAATTTGTGTGTGTCGATAACATTATGTGACATGTTGGTATCAATCATATGAATTAGTAGAACTTGTAACTGTTTAATTATATTTACCTGTCTAGCAGAGGCTTTTCTGTAGGTGAGCATATGAGCTAAAGATGGGATGATGTAAACTGTGAAGCTAACCAGGAGAGCCCCAACTGCAGAGTTAATGGGCCCAAAGAAAGGAAATATTATAGCCAAGAACCAAATTGGGATCACAACTGGAAGCCTAGCCAGTGCCCTCAAGCAAATGCTCTTTGTGTCATGCATGCCAATCACCTTCTCCCACACAAAGTACAATGGTGTACATGCAAACCCAAATGTTATAAACTGCACCAGTGCCCAAAAACACAAAATGTCAGTTTTAGTAAAAACAATATTCATTCAAGGGTCATTTTTTTAGTAAGCCAGTAATTTTCAGACCTGGTGAATGAGCATTAAAATAACAGCGGCATCACGCCAGGCATTCTTGGGGAGGAGAGAGAAGGCATTGGCATGGTTGAGAAGCTCATCACCAAAAGCCCAGTAGACAGAGGTAGCAGAAGGAATTGTAAGTGTGAAAACGTATACTGTGGCAAACAAGTAGATGTACTTGAATTTCTGTGGCTTCCACATGGCATGCATGATTTCCCTGAAAAATTCCCACCCACATTTTACTGATCAGATTCCCTTCACATTAAAAAACGATTTCTTTTTTTTTTTGTTTTTTTGGTAACAATTAAAAAAGAATTTTACATTTGGCTAATACTTTAGTCCAATTAAAACTATTACAAGGTCAACAAGAACATGGGGAACATATAATAAAACCAACTAATTGACCAAAGAGCCCTCAGGTCACATCTTTCTATAGCTGTTATGCAACTAAACAATCTAGTCTCTGGGAGCAGTTTCTAATCTCTATCAGACAACAATATTATATGCCCCAGGCGAAGACAAATGAAAGGGAGAGTGGTTAAGTGAAACAGAGAAGCTTGTATTCTCTTTTGGTGAAAGTAAAACATAAGGACCATTTTACTGTGCAATTTTCCTAGAGAAATGGGGTTAATGTTGTTTTTTCAAGAGCAAACAAAAGTAGATGGGATGATTATGTCTGTGGATCTCGAAACCCGAGAGGCCGGCAAAAGCTGCAAAGAGAAGCCGTGTAGAAACAAGTGAAATAGCAGGAAAGGGTAAAAATAGAAAAGCATACACTGTGACAGCATGGCCACCAAACGTGTATAGTATGTTGGTGGCGCCGGTGAAATACAGCACAAGCTTTGTGGGAGCTGTGTGTGTTACTCCTTCCTTCTGCACAATTTTCACCAAGCACAGAACTTTTAACTTTTTTTTAAAGCAGAAAACGTAAAGAGAAAAAGAAAGCATTTTTGGAAAGATAATAATATTAATAGTAGCTGTACTGTGAGATGAAAAGATCAGGGACATTGATGACTGATTTACCTGGCCATGAACAACCGCTGCAATGGTCAAGTACCAGGCTGTGTAAGTGGTCATTCCAAGGCCAAGAAAGGACCAAATCCGATAGTTATGGAAAGAAGGTATGAAAACTGTAGTGGCACAGCAAGCTCCGAAGATGTAGGTCCATGTCCTCTTGTCCAAATTGTCATTGATGTAATATATGTTACTGCTCTCAAACAGGAAGCAAAAAAAGCAACACCAACAGTTAAAACTAAGCAAAACCCAGGTGAGATTTGCATGATTCGGGAGTAAAAAATGTAAAAAGGACTCACCTTGCACAAGCAATAAGCTGTATGACGGATCCAAATAGGAGGAAGGTACAGTTGAAAGCAAGCCCCACAGCTTTCCAGTAAGGACCAAGTAACCCATCAAGGACTTCAAACCACTGCATCCAAAAACAGTATAGTGTGATTTAAGCATAGTGGAAAGTGATGAAAGAGGTTCTGGGCACTGTGAGTTTGGATATTTATTTCACACGCTTTTGCTTTAAAGATTAGGCATTAGCGGTGGGTGGTGGTCCTGTTAAAGAAGCTAAGCTAGAAATGGTATATCGTGACCAACCTGGATAACGTGGTTCTTGAAGTTTACGTTCTCTTTCTCCTTCCTGCTTCTGTACTCTATGTAGAGCACACTGATCAGGTAAGCCGTCCAGCTTCCAACGATTCCATAGAATATTTGCAGCAAGATGCCTGATAATAATCCCAGCTGAGAGAATGAGTATGGCAGTGTCAAAAGCACTTGAGCTACCTGCAAAAAAGAAACAGAAATTAAAAGGGATTAGAAGTTTTGTTAAGCGAATCAAGAAAAAGTAAAATTTGGAGTCTCTTTTGTAATGGCTTGGTGGGTGTACTTGATTGGAAGCACAGCTGAACCAAGCGTCCCAAACAGAGCCACCATGCCAGAGAAAGTTCTTGACATTAAACAAGGAGGTGTTTTCTTCCTCCTTGTCTTGATGATGATCTTCCTTTCCCTCATGATCATGAGCCTCGCTAAAGTTGGAGACTATTGCTTCCTCTGCTTGCTTCTGAGCCAACATTGTCACCGTTTTTTTTCTCAAAAGGCAACCGTCTAAATCCTGGTAGATCTGAAACATAAAAAAGATGGTAAATGAGACAAAAGAAACTATAACCAAACGCAGCCCCAGAAAACGAAAGCCAATAAGACCCCAGATCGAAAAACTCTATAATTCCTTCCAAACTCAAAAAAAATTGAAACTTCCAAAGAATACAGAAAACTCAAGAAAAAGATTAGTTAAAAAAACCAAAGGGGTACAGCCTCTAACATATTTTTCACGAACTAGCTGCCTAAAAGAGAACAAACCCAATACCATTTTAAACTACCATACCTTGATTGAAATGTCACTTTCTCGCAAAGATATGAAATGAACACACACAGATCGATCTATCACTCTGTTCCAAGCCAAATGAAATGTCACTTGCCTTTGTTTTCACAATGAGAAAAAACAGGACTTATATCATGTGCAGGTGGGATTTAAGAATTCTTCATTCCAAGACTTGGCAGGCAGAGAAGAGAGTGGCCTTAAATGCTGCGTTTCAAATAATAATTACAAATCTCCAGCTGAAGATCTTTCTCTGTCTAGCTCTGTCAAGATTGGAAAAGCCAGACTTTAATGCGCCACCAATTTGCTCAGTGAGAAAAGGAAGAGTGCCGAACCCGAAGACGGCGAGAGCCCTCAAAAGCAGGAAAAAGAAAATACTGAGTGTGAGTAAGTGCTTCAAAGGTGCTGGCAGAGGTTGAAGAAAAGACCCTTTTCGCTCTTATTCTAGTAAATGCATATAAACAATTGGCTTTGTTTGGTTGGTTTTGCTGTATAGCTAGCTAGCTGCTTTTTAAGTTCTGCTCTTTGGCTTTGAAATTCGCCTCTTTCTCTTTTGGTTAGAGAGAAAGACGGGTGTGTTGAGTAAATATAAAAAGGGTGAAAGAGACGAAGCTCCCCCAATTCCCTGTATTCCAATATCGATTCGATTCTTTGGATGACAGAGAAGTTGGAGATCACAGAGCGAGTGAGACTTTGTTCTGATCACAAAGGAAAGGACTAAGGAGGGACTCAATTAAACAATCCTCCTTCCATTTTATAGCCCGAAAGCTTCAACGGCTAAGATTATTTTTTATTCAATTTCATACCCCCAAAAAAGAATAATGAAAAATTGTAAGCCTTTTTTTCATTAAATCTAAAATAGTACTAGGTTTTCTAGTTTCCAACCGAAAAAATAATAATAATAAATAATAAAAAAGAGAATTTACTAGTTACATCACTAATCATATTTCTTAGCAGAGTGAATCTTGGAAATCTCACTAGTAATTCACATGATAAATTGACTAGTTGCATTGCTAATCACATTTTTTATAAGAGCATCTACAGTAGGAGGGTGTATTTTCGGGGGTGTAAAGTCACTTTTACATCCCCTTTATACATCTGGGGGTTGTAAATATGATTTTTGTTCCAATGGGAAAGATGTATAATTGATTTCTTTAACCTTTTTTTCCTGTTGGTCTCACTTTTGTTCACTTTTTCTTACATTTTCTCATGTAGATCCCCACTGCAAAATATGTAAAAAAAGATGTATATGTGCATCTAAATTTGCACCTCATGGTGGTGATGCAAATTTACACTCGTTTACACCTCTCCATTGCGGGTGATTCCGATTACAAATTGTGTATATTTAACATACACCTCATTATACACATTCCCACTGTGGATGCTCTAAGAGTGAGCCCGAAAAATTTCATCAGTAGTTGACATGATAAACACTCTCGTCGAGTTATAAGAGATGTGCGCATGTGAAATCGATCAACTACTAGATGTTCTAAATTCCAATTCCCTCTCTTATTGATTAAAAAAAATTACACATTATATGAGCACATAAGTTGTAGTAGTTCACATGATAAACACTCTCGTCAAAGTTATAAGAGATGTAATCACATGAAATAGATCAACAACTAAATGTTTCATATCCCAATCCCCTCTCTTATTCTTTCAATTGAACCTTTTTTTAAGAAAACCTAATCGCTACTTCTGAGAAAACCCCAAAGAAAAATCCTTAGCGGCCGACCCTACATGATATCTTCACATAAGCCTCGTACAACCAAAATCTAATTTTACTCTTTCAATGGAGCTTTTTTGAGAAAAAAAAAAAAAAACCTAATTGATACTCTCTCAGAAACCCCTAAAGAAAAAACCTTAGTCCAGTTGTTAGCCTTCGATATAGATTTGGAGCTACGAAGCGGGGATCATGATGGGTGGCGTTGGGTTCAAGTTTAGTCGGTGTGGCACTATGGTTTTAGCCAGTATGGCGTTATAGCTCTATTCGGGTTGCCCAAGAAGATGTTGAGCGGTGGTCTTGTTTCTTAATTTGTTTTAGTCTAATAATTCTCATAATCTCTTTAGAAGTTTGATGTGGTTTTTTTTTAAAGGATTTTATTTCCTTTCGGACTTTGGCTTTTGATTCGGTTTTGTCATTTATGTCATTGCACAACAAATCTTTGTTGCAAGTGTGAGTACATGTGCTTCTGGTTGTTGATTCGAGGATTTTAATCATTTTTTGGGTTGTGCGTATTCTTTTCAGATCAATTCAACTTGTTGTTGCGTTTAGTCAATGGAGAAGTTTTATCCATATTCGGCACCTTAGTTGTTTTGTACTTGTTTTTGTTTATCTTAAAGCATCCGCAATGGTTGTTCAATAGTTCAATTATTGAACTATTTTCACATATATTGAATTGAACTGCAGTTGTACTTACAATGGCACAGTTTAATGGCTTCAGTTTATTGGCATGTGGGTCCCACAGTTAGCCTATTGCAATTTAATAGAGGGTTCATCACATAACACTCTTTATTGCAATGAACTAAATCACACCATTACAAGTGAGATTTTATTGTTTTAGTTCAATTTCATGCAATAACATTGCATTGATCCTTACCACTTTAGATATTCTTAACAATAAAATATTATCGCTCTTTTATCAAAAAGCTCGTACAGCCACGATTATATTCCAAGATGAACTTCAACTATCAAATAAATACTTTTTATTAAATGTTCTTTTTCTGGGTTATACCTTGGTAGATATGGGATCATTCAAGTTTGTATGATGGCAGCAGCAGCTTCTTAATTTCCACAATTTCTCATATCATTAATAGCATATGCTTTTTTAATAACGGCTGAGGGTCAGATCCAAATCTCAGTCAATAATTCCACAAATTTAATTTCCCCATTAATTTCCTTTTCCTTCCCTTCTTCCATAAAATATAATATCCTTTAATTTTTTCCAAAATTCAAATTTAACTGATCATACCAAATCCCACTCTCAATCTAACCCCACATTATCCAACCAAGGCTCTAACCAAGCGAGTTTGTGTTGCAGTCTCACGTAGGCGAGTGAGGCTAAGAGGCTAACAAAGCCCAATGAGAGATACGATTGGATTTTTTATTTTTTTTAAATTATGGACCGCAAATTTATCCAACCAGTGCAAAACGGAGGCCCATTTATGATTTGCTTTACTTTTACGAAGTCTACTCTGCAAAACGCCGCCGTAGCGCGCGCAGGCCTTTATGACACAGTCGGCTCAAGCCGCGCCATGATGACTCGATCGGCTTCCCGCATGCTTAATGGAAACACGCGCGCATGAAGTGATGAACTCTAAACCCCACTTCCCGCCGGCTCATGATAGAAAAAAAAATAAAAAAATCTGTGCTCTTTTATCGGACGGCTGTGAACGGCCCAGCATCATCGCTACTTGGGCCCACCTCATCACACACCTCGTTTCATCTCATGATTCCACTTTATTATTTATTTGATTTCATGATTGATTAAAATTTGATGTGTATAAAAATAAAAATGATCCTATTTTCTATCATATTCACCTATAAAATCAAAATATTTGGGGCATGCTTTATTTATTCTTTCTCATTAGCGAATCTCCTTGTTACACATCATCACAAAAAATTTAAAAAAAACTTCCATATTATTCCCCAAACGAATATGGCCTGAAACACGTTTTTTTATTTTTGTTTACATTTCAAGAGATTTTTTAGCAAATTTAAGACAACTCAAATTGCATCGCATAAACTCGATTTATCACCATAAGTGAACTTATTTTTATCACCATGAAATGAAAACTTCGAAAAACATTGTAACCATAATTAACTCTAAGCTCATCTAGCTCTTTCTTTTAGACTTCTTAAAAGCATACCCAAAACTAGACAATTCTAAAACTCTTTGAAAGGCTCTAAGCCGCTAAATTGGTGCATTCTTGACATGGGCGGTTTTAATATTTTGGGGGCCCTAGGTGAACTTTCAAATGTGGCCAAATTCTCTATGTATATTTATGTTTTTTTTAAAAGTAAGTTAAATAAAAAGTAAATTAAATCAAAGTCACAATTATAATATAAAAAGAAACAAACAATATGTAATTCACATAACAATTTTATTGATTTTCTTTTTTTAAATTTTAGAGTGAATAATTGGGGTTTTTTTATATATAATAACTAGGCCTAACATAAGATTAATATAGTACAATTGTTTTAAGTAACTAATGAGGTTTATACAAATTGGGGCCCTCTCAACTTGAACGGCCTAGGCGGCCATTGCCGGTCTCCAAATGTCTTTTTGTTTATTCTTCTATTTTACGTTGTTAGATCAACCAAGCTAGTTCTCATATGAATACCCAAACCTTAACAAAGCCGAATTTAGCTTTTGAGTTTCCATAACAGGAAATAAATATTGTATATTTTCACGACAAAAATAAAAGAAAAAAAGATCAAACTTTCCACAAGTCGACACTAGTCTACAAAACCCTAGTAATCATTCTTAATTACTTTTCTTATTTTGGCCTGACATTCTTAAATACTTTGAGCTCACAAGTCAAAAGGCAAAAAAGAAAAAGAAAAAACAAAAGAAGAAGAAGAAGCAACCCAAACAATGGTGGCGGCCGCAAGAAAGGAGGTAATCTTGGTGGCTGTGGAGCCCCAAAGGCACCATGGAATACTTCTGTTTTTTTTTGTTTGTTTTTTGTGTCTAAATGGACTGAAAAAAAATCTATGTAAAATGGGAAAAAGCTGTTAGTCGTAATCCATACAGAACCAACACGTTGCACCGTTCAAACGGGGATTTGTCGGGTGGGTGCGGGTCACCGTTCCCCGCTCTTGGCCCGCTTTCAGGCCCAACACAATACGCACTTGGATGGATGGATTATTATTCTACTGCCACTTCCATATTTTTCATTTGTGTAATTCCCAAAATACCCCTGTATTGACATTTGTGAGATGGGATGGGACGTTGTGAGGTGTCTCCCAACCAAGATGAGACAGAGCCGTGTATGCTTGTCAAACCCCATGAGTATCTTAATTTGTTCAAAATTTAAAATTTTAAAAAAATTAAAAAAAAAATTAACTTTGTGGGATTAGTGGGTGAAGTAATGATTAGTGAATGGATTTGCCATTGGGAGGAGGGGAGGGGATCAAAATTATCAAAAATCGGACCATGTTCCATTGTTGCCCCTCACATGGGGCCCGCGATTTGCGGGTCCCATTCTCCATCAGCATCTTCAAATTTCGTGATTTGATTTTTTTTTCTTATTTATTTTCTTTTTGGGGTTTCTGTCCTGTGATATTATTCACTGTTATCTAACAAAAAACAATTATACATGCGGATTTTTTGTGCTCTCGAGGAATTGGCCGCCAGCTTATACAGTAACAATCCCTCCAAGGCAGAAGAAGAGAGAGAAAACTTTCGATAAAATTCTTGCTTAGGGGGCTGATTAGTGTTGATTCCTTTCTAATTTGCATCTAACTATTGTATTGGTAGAGGTGGCCCTGGGTCTGTGCAGGACGTCCTTTTGGAAGATCTATTTTTATTGGGTTGTATTATGTCCCTCGCTGTATTAATTTGTTTAGTTAAATAAAATTTTCTCTCGTACTGTCGAGGTTTTTAAAAAAATAATTATATCAGATGGATGCCCTAATGATGCATTCATCATGAACTCAATGATGATCCAAGAGTCAATTCGGCATACACTTGCCGTGCCACAATGTGGACGCTACTCGTTTTGGTGATAATTGGTTGCTTCTAGCCTTTTCTGCA